CGGTTGATTCTATGATTCTGTGGTTTGGGATAGCTCATCTTCCTGCTTGGTCAGGTTCACACTTGTCTTGCAGTTGGTGTGCTGGCTCAGGCAGTGTAATTCCAAGCTGTTGTGGAGGTAAAGAGAAGGGAAGAGTGGTGCAATCTTGCCTTTGGTGGTGCTGTTCTAAGTTAGAAGGTGTGCTCTCTTTTGAAGAAATAAACTGTTTCTTGTTCGTTTTTAACAGCTATTGGTTGTTCTTTAACTTATTAATAAACACCATTTCTTTCAAATAGCAAAAGTTTTTTTCTCTCAGCATACTTACTTCCCTAAGTCCAAGGTTAAGCCAGTGTAGTCCAGAGTAAGACCAGTAACACAAAAACAGGGTTTTGTGGGTCAAGTGGTTAAATGCAAAGTCAGCTCTTGAATTTTGTGAGAGAATTTTTTTCACGAAGGATGCAAATGTACAGAAATGTAATCCCAACATTGTGCTAAAATGTGGCATCACAGTATTCATATTGTGATATGCAGAAGAAGGTTTGTGTAGTAGCCATTTGTGTAGAGAAATCATTAAGGGTTTTGGTTGTCTCATTAGTAAATGGCTTCTTGCAAATGATTATGAAAAGTTCTGTCACGAATAATAGCAGGTGAGCTTTTAAGTAGCAACATTGTTAGAAGTTGTGTGGTAGACATGAATTTTCTTCCATCTGTAATGGGAGAGGCTGAATGTGACTCAGACTGAACCATGTTAGCAAAGAATTGCTGTTTGGATTGTGACCTTTTTCACAGGTTCACTTCTATCAACATGGACTGAGATGCACATTGGAGCAGCTCAGCTGGAAGACTTGAGGTGGTTTTTCTCCTGTTAGGAGACCTGTGATGAACATATCGGGGCAATAGTCTTGTAAGATCCGTGTTGTCAGAGGATAATGAGTGTCTACAGCCTAAGTGCAAACATGTTTGCTCCTTGCAATTTTAGACTAAGTACAAGTCAGTTTGCATCCTTGGTGTGGTATCAACAAACACCTGCAGCCAGTTTGCACTAGGGCTGCCAACATTACTGGTTTTTAACAGAATTACCTAACAGTATGCCATGTCTGCAGTATTGACAGGGCTAACGTGGTTTTTTTTCCTTTGTATTTTGGTTTTTTAAGTTAACGAGCAAATCAAGTAATCAATTCCTAAGCCATTTGCTTAGTAACTTCTCAAGGAATGAGGACAAGTAAAAGGATGTAGTAAATGAACTGAGCACATATTTTGGGTTTTATGTCAGCTGTTTGAATGAAAAGCTTGAAGTTGCAGTTAACAGTCTTGGACGTTTATTTTTACTTGCTACACTATTTTTGCTGTGCATTTTTACTTGGAAAAAAGGAGTGGATTCAGGCTGCTAATATGGTGTGTCTGATTGAGTTTAAATGCAAACTTCAGTCGGGTTTTCCTGGAAAAGAAGTTAAAATTCAGTGGAAGTTGACCACTTCTCTTTTTTTTCAGGCAAAGCAGTAGTGTCAAAACAGCTAGATGATGATACCTCTTTTCTAGCTTTCTGTGGGTTTTTTGTTAACATATTCCTATACTAATTGGTTTTTTCCCCTCTTAACAGCACACCATAGAGTCTGTTAAATTCTGAAATATCAACATATGACATTGACTTTTTGTATTATTTTGTGTAGATGAAAGGAAAAAAGCCACAATCAAGTTACAAAGCTGCAGGTACGGCTCCAGTGGAAGAAGAGGCAAAGACAACATGTCCTAATACCTACAGACTGGAGACACGTAATAAATTTCGGGATTACTTAGTAAGAGACAAAGCTCAAGCAATATTAACGGCATAGTATTTTTTAAATTAGTTGTCTCATTGCCAAAGTAGCTTTTCTTGCAAAGGTGCTAATGAAACAGTGTAAATTGCATAAACTTATATATGCATAAGTCTCTGCAGTCATGAGTTTTGGCACACAAATGTAATGTGAATGTGCTCTGTTTTGCCATGTGCAGAAGGAACCCCACAAGGTCCCTGCTGAGCGTGTGCTGTTAAGGTGGTGCTAAGGCATCTTAAGTCTTGTCTTTTTTAAAAATCAAGCTGAGGTATAGCACAGCTCAGAATACCCTAATCTCCAAAATACCTGGTTAGCCAAAAATCATGACCCTGAATTTGTGGAATTCTACTCCTATGATTAGTTCTACTGACATCACATGACCTGCATAAAATACACTTGGTGTCCTTCACAATCAGACTGCTCTACACAAAAAAACAAGCAAAAATGAAAGAACAATCTGTTGAGATAATAGCTGTTAGTGATACTCCATATAGTTATAACCAGCTCTTTTTAATTGTGCTGTCTGGAAGACATGCCTTGGATATTTGGAGCAGGTATTTTTGTAGCACTATTTTCCAGTGAACTGAGTCCAAATAATGGAGAAGAATACACTCCTGATTGTTCAGTGGAGATTGACTGGACATGTGTGTCACTTTCAAAAAATAAATAAAGCATTATAGTGTGTCCTTTGTGTTTGAGAGCATCGTCTATATTGACTGTTCTGCTCGTTAGGTCTTCTCATGTACTTGTAATGAAAATGTCTCTAAAAGGTTTTTTCTGCAAAAGACTACCAGGATGAAAACTAAAATCTTTCAAAATTGATTTTTTGTTTATTCTAAAACTTCAAGACACCAAATACAATGGAGCTTCTAGTCCTTCCTTGTGTGCTTCAATCTCAGAAGAAGTATTAAAGGCTGTGAAGGAATTTGGCTTTGACCGTTACAAGTACGTGGTATCAGTGCTAATTGTGGAAAAGGCAGGCCAGGCAATCAATGTAAGCGATTATTTGTAATACCTTTTGCAAATGGAAAATAATTTTTAGAACTGTGTGCTATCTTCTAGGTTTTCTTCCACATTCAGCAGCTTAACTAGTTTGAGTCTTGAAGCTTTTACGTTCTTTATGGGGAGTAGCATGCCAGGTGCCTATTTAAGGTACTGCTGTGATTCTGCTGAAGTCTTCATGTGTTCAGTAACAGTGTTAAGCAGCCCGTGCTGCACTTCCCAGTCAGTTGTTTTTGCTGTGTGCTGTGCTGGTACAACTGCATGACTGCAGCAAATATTCTGTTTCTGTGTCCAGTGTACTTTGATCTCCAGTTGGGTTGTCACATTTGGTTCAAAATGCTGTGCAGTTTTAGTGTGGGGTGACATGGAAAGGAAGGGTGGCAAGGACTACCAGGCATGTTCCTGGGACTGCAAATTAACACTAGGCATTTGAACTCGGAACACTTAAAATAAAAGGATTCTAGAGGTAGTATTCCAAGCTCCCATTGGATTCGGAACACTTTTAGCTGTCTTGCAGATTGTCAAAGAACAGTTGTACTTAGGGTGTTCATCATAGAATCATAGAATTCCAGGGGTTGGAATGGACTTTACAGATCATCTAGTCCCAATCCCCCCTGCCATGGGCAGGGACACCTCCCCACTTGACCAGGTAGCTCAACGCCTCATCCAGCCTGACTTTGAACGCTGCCAGGGTTGGGGCAGCCACTGCCTCCCCGGGCAACCTGTGCCAGTGTCTCACCACCCTCACAGGAAAAAACATTTTCCTAGGGTCTAGACTAAATTTCCCCTCCTTCAATTTGAACACATTACCCCATATCCTATCACTGCAGTTCCTAACAGAGAGTCCCTCTCTGGCTCCCCTGTAGGCCTATCAGATACTGAAAGGCTGCTATGAAGTCTCCATGCAACCTTCTCTTCTCCAGGCTGAGCAGCCCTAACTTCCTCAGCCTGTCTTCACAGGGGAGATGCTCCAGTCCTCTTATCAACTTTGTGGCCTCCTCTGGACTTGTTCCAACAGTTCCATGTCCTTCTTCATCAGTTCTTCATCATCACCCGTTCTTAAATCATTAGTTTTTCTGATGAAACCAACCTGTTCTTAGTGAGTTACATGAAACAATGTTTGAAGGGTTCAGCTTCAGTACCAGAGCCAGTTTGTGAAGTGGCTGCATCTACTTGCTTTTCTGGTACTGTCTCACAGGATGCTGCCTCTGAAGTGCTGCTTTGACTGAGGAGCCAGAGGTGCAAACAGACTAGTGAAGTGGTCCAAGGTAACTTTTTTCTCTCTAGGATTATGTTCATTCCCGCATCAATTCATACAGTTTAGCTTTGAACACAATTCTGTCAAAAATGCTGAGAGCCCCGTAAATCGTCACAAGTAGAGTAGAGTAAGCTTGGAGGTGGGGGATGTGACTTCTTAGTTACATATATTCCCAAAACTAATGTCTCTTCACACAGACATTTTTTAATTCTATTGCTTTTGAAGGGATGCTCTTAGAGTATGCTAAAGTGCGAACAAGTGAATATGAGAGGGAATTGGGAGTTTGGTTGTGGATCTGTTGGGGTGGGAGCTTTACTGTGAAGCAAGAAAAGGTTTTAACATGGAATTGAACTTGTTAATGTTCATTGTACTTTTGCACTGTTGTTACTAGTTGTAACTCTCATAATGTGATTAGATCAGCATTTAGATAATGCTGTGTGTTCTTTAAAAAATAAACGTAAAAACTGTGCTGTATATAGATCCACAAATAGCTTTTTCTCTGTTTTTCCTTTTAGGTTGCCAGCAGATGCATCTGGGATGCTCAAAGAGACACTTGGGTTTCAGCTCAATGTGAAACCGAAACATTTATTGCCCTGGCTTTGGTAGTGGCCTGTTATTGCGACTAATGCTCTGAAAGCCACAGCTGGATTTGCGCATCGCAGTACGTGGTACATTTGAAAATTTTCAGAACATCATTATATTAGTATTAATTTTTGCCCTATTGCTGTTGGCACATTGAAACTGACATAAAGTTTAGATAATTTTGCTCGGTTTTTTTCTCTGTTAAAAAAAAACCCAAACCAAACCCAAAAAATTGCTTTGGAAATATTTATGGTTGAATACATATGGGCTTCATCTGTTGTAATGCTCTGCTGTAGAAGTTGAAGCAGCTGGTGTAAGGCCAAACATTGCAAAATTTTGAATGGTGCTTGTCTGTTGTGTGTCTAGGACTGTTCACCAATGTTTACATGAAATTGCAGGTATCAGTTTTCTTAAAGGCATGTTTTTTGTACAAAAAGACAGCGTTCATTTTTTTTCCCTAGTTGTGTCTATGATAAAATGCCAGTCTGCCTAGAAACCTGGCTGGGGGGGAAGCTGTGCTTTGCAGTCCTAGAAACTTGTGCAAATTTCCAGTTGTTTGCCTTGAATGAAATGCAGATTCATGAATGAATGATTCAGTCTTTAGGTTCTCCAGGCCTTAAGGTTGCATGAAACATCAGCTGGGTTCAGGCTGGTACCTAAGTCCTGAATTGTGTGAGTATGGTCGATTTGGGCTTCTGGTAGCAATGGCAGGATAGTGGGGTTACTAATGAGGCTGTTGATAATTGTTCTGTAATTGGCAAGGCAGCAGTGATTGTATTTTGAAAAAGAGGACTCTGGCAGATCCGTCAAGCGTATAGACATCAGCTTTTGGATCTGCTGCGTGTGGAAATCGAGCGCCGGTGCCTCGTATTGTTGCATTGTTAGGAGCTGAAACCAAGCGCGTGCTAACGCGGACGAGGCAGCGGTGTTTCCCACCGCCCCTCGTTCCGCCGGGGTCTCGGTGTGCCGGGAGCGATGCACACTGCGGGGCGCGGCCAGAGGAGGCG